TAGGGGTTATACTCGGTTTATAAGGGAAAGCAAAGGTTACCTCTGAGTTCCCTGCCTCCAGAACTCCTCCTCAGTTCCGGCAGGGCTCCCGCAATCGGTGGGGCAACCTCCCACAAAGGCCTTGGCGCGGATCACGGGTTGCAATCCCGCCTGCTGCCTTCCTCTCCAAACCAGTGGACTAGACTGAGAGTGAGAAGGGCAGATAGAGAGGTATTTGAGTCTCTCAGATCCAAGAGAGGTGCACTCAGACTCGCAAGAGAGGGCCTTGATACCTTCACTCGCCTGAGGGCCCCCGCAATGGTGGCCAGACACAACTGCCGCCGGTCAAGCTTGATATCAAATTGACGAACAACTTCCCTCCGACGAACCTCCTAATCGCAGCAATAATCCCCTATTTGCCCAGTTTGATCACCTCCGCAAGTCTCAACACCTCTCCTTAGCCTTGTCGTGGCCACGCAACAGCCTGTAACAGAATGCAGCAGTAGTCTGCGCCCAGCCAGCAGCTGCAGCAGCCGTGCACAGCCAAAAACAACAACACCCGTTCTTGTCCAGCCATTGAACAGAGCAGCAGCACACAGCGGCGGTCAACAGCAACAGTAGCGGTTGTCGGCAACAGCAGTCCTCAGCCGCTTTCTTCAGCGGCTTGTAGCTGCATGCAACAGCAGGCGGTAATAGCAGCCTGTACGCAGTATGCGGCCCGCGTATAGCCAACAACAGCAGTTATCGCACAGTCAGCCAATAGCTGCTGTCAAGCACAGCCAACCGCAGTTGTAGATCCGCAATGTGCAGCCGTATGGTGCGTTGCGCAGTAGCCTTATACCATCGGCCAACGGCAATCGGCAGCAGTACATGTCAGTCAAGCGGTCCAGTAGCAGCCGTCCGTGCCCGACCAAGTGATCCAGCCGCCGATATACAGTAACTTGCAGCAGTCTGTGTACTGCCAAATGGCCAGCAATCGGTCGTGATGTGAGGCAAGTCGTGCGCAGGTACCGATTTTCCGCCCCGCCACTTCGGCTGGGGATACAGTCAGTGCTTTTCACTGCTCGACAGTCCCTAACCTTATTGTTGTCTTCCGCTGCCTCGTTCGATTGTTCGGGCAGCCTCCTTGGCTTGCAGGTAAGCTCCCAGACCTCACCCCTTAGTCTCTGGCCACCCCCTGCAGCGGCCTGAGCAGCGCGACGACTGAAGAAACAACAGCTTAACTATTTATCGCCTCACTCGTAGTTATAGTGCCACGATGGCATCCCTCTACTTGGCTGGTGGCAAATTCGCCCATGTAGACTAGGCAAATGAGAAACGATACCTCTTGAATGCCACTTGAGTGCCTTACCAGCTGAGTCAGGCCTAATGGACCCGACTTCGTATCTGCAATCCAATCACTCCAAGCCTGCATTTGCTGGGCAGCCTCCCCATATGTGGGATGAGAAGGAGTTTTCCACGGATACAAGCAGGTACTTGTCAACTGCACTCCTTGCGCACCACCAGCAGGTACGTTCTTCACCTTTCTCCCACTTGCAGCAGTTCCTACAGTATGGACGCACCCGGTCGTTGATGTAGCCAGGTTCATTTGCACCCTGCTATGGGCCGTAGGCAGGGACACGACCGAGGCAGCGCCCAGCGCGACTTCAGACTAACAGTAAGCCAGGTACGCACACCTCCTACTGTCTCCCTCCTCTCTGATCTCAATCGCTTGCATTGCCCCCCCGCACACTTTTACTCCCCCGCCGTATTTGCTATATGAACTAAGAGCGAAATTTCCCTTAGCATACGGGAAGGCACACTGCCTCCCCGCTGTGCATTTGAAAACGTAACAGCTGCTATTCTATAGCTAGATTCACCAGAAGAAGAACTCCCATTAAAACGTGAGGTTATACACTTATGACTTCAAAACTGCCCCTACTTGTTTTATCCGGAAAGGGGAGAAAAGGGGGAGTGAAAAGAGCAAAAAATAATAATAATAATAATAATAATAATAATAATAATAAATCAAAAATAAACGGACATAAAAAAAAATCCAACTTTTCCACGGAGTAAACCACTGGCCCTCCACCAGTCACATGGGCCGGGCCCGCCACCCCTTATCGCAAAAGTTGAGGGGGATAGCCCTGGCGGCCCTCTACCCCTTGACCCTCGCCTCGTCGCTTCGCTGCTCCCGAGTCGCTGCCTGCTGGCCTCGAACCCCGAACCTTCGTATCCGCAACCCGACGCCGTAACCTTTAGGGCTAAGCCCCATCTTGGGATCAGCAGGCGGTGGATCCCATATGAAATGGTACTGAAGTGAGGCAGTCCAGTACTTAGGGCTGAGGAGGGCGTCGTAGGCCTTACCCCCACCTATTACCGGGCGCGCGACTACAAGATAATCACGCTGGCCTCCCTGATCGTGCCACGGCTGCCCGCGTACCATCCCACATATCAGCCCTGCCGCCGGTCAGCGTAGTAAACGAGGGTCAGTCCATTAATCCCTGGCCTAGTCAAGAGTGTGACGTCAAGTCGGACGCCTGCGTCAACACTACAATCAAAGGGGCAAAATCACACGCGCCCACTCATCCTACCTACTTAGACAACCTTGGTCCATACATAGGTAACCGTTTGAACACACAGGCCTGGACCCTTGGCCCCGATGTCACTTGCAAAAACCAGGGCGGATACCCTTGCAAGGGTATTCGCGCCGACAACGCCCTCATCTGGTCCCTCACGGTCCTGTACAATCTGCCGACCGGATCGCCGCCGGTCTGCGCAAGGAGAAATTTGTCACACTCCACGACCACGCGGCGATCGTCGGCGATCGTCTCCAACGAATGGTAATACGTGAGGGACCATCGACGAGGGTTGAGGAGGTGGGCCGCGACATGTGCGGGCTCTAGCATGTGGAGGTTGAGCATTGCAACCTCACGCACGCACGGCTCGATCATGTCCTCCGGCACGTCCACCCCCCTCATCAACTGCACCACATGCTGACTCCACTCGTAAACGACGGACATCATCATCCCCCCCTTATCCATCCTGCGCAACAGCTGGTGGACGGACGACATGACAAGGATGGCGTACTAGACACACCGCCAAAACTCCCCGTCCCGGATTTGCTGTTGCACCGACTGCGCCGGAGATACATGCCTGCGCTCCCACGGGATGCGTGCCCAAGCATCCCCGTGCAACATGCTCTCCAACGCGTCCCGTCGGCCTTTGAGACACGTCAGCATCAGGAAAACCGATGTGAACCGTGTCTCAACGGGCTCGACGAGCTGAACACGAGGGCTCGCCTTCCTGAATAGGGCGTGACCAGCGCCGTGCGATTTAATAAATCGCACAAGCGCTCGAGCGCGGATGATGGTGTTCTTGACCCACCCCACTCACGTCCCGATATCTGACAACATCAAGTTGCAGACATGGGTGGAGCAGGGGAGCCAAGTGATCCTCCTAATATCAGGCTCGGGGTAAGTGGCGAATCTACGCGTTGTCGCCGTATAGTTACTGGCGGAGTCAGTGCAGAAGTCGATCACGTCCTTTGCAGGAAAGGACAAGATGATGGCCCGCCACCTACGGTACACGATGTCCACGGTGTCTTGGACCGACCCGTCGCGTGCGACGGTGGCGTATAGCAGGGCGCCATTGGCGCCCCCGGCGAGGAAGTTCACGAGCGGCTTGCCGCTGCGCGACTTCCTCCCGTCGGAGAGGATGGTGGCACTGTTGTGCCGGAAAGCGACGCGCACCTCACTCACCATCGTCGCCACCTTCACCCTCTGCGAAGGGATACCGGCGCCCGCTGTGACCCTGAAGGAGGGAAACCGGAACTGGATACTGCGAGGCACTCTCTCCGCCGCCTGCCACACCTTCTGGAACTCCAGACCACGGAAGGCATTGAATGGCAACCCCTTCACGTAGACCCACTGCAGCCACGCGTCTGTGAACTCCGCCAACTTCTCCTTGTCGTACATCTCGTCAATCGTGGTCTATCGAGCCCTCTTCTCCCTGCCCGTGTCTCGCACCTCGACGCCAGCCTCCCCCACTGTCCTCTTCTCCCTCCTCGCGCGATCCAACTCAGGTCACAGCGCCCTAGGAGAGGGACCCGCTCGATCGACGCCTCTCGACGTCATCACCACCTCCTCCCCTGGCAGGTTAGGCTCTCCGACTCCCTCGTCTGCCCTGTCTGCCACCCCCCCCTCCTTGGCCCCACCCTCGCAGCCCTCCTCCTCATCGAGGGCATCCTGAATATTGTCCCTCTTTGCGTCGTCCATCCGCCGTCGCTGGCCACCCGCGGGCGCTCTCGTGTCTCGTATGCCCATCCACCTCTGCACCCACTGAGCAGTGGACGACACAAATGTGTAGTCCGTGTCGTTCCAGAGTTCCGCGAGAACTCTCATCCCCCCAGCCTTGCAGTACTTCGCCTGCGTGAAATGGCGTGCGGCCTTCGACGACCCCCCCTGAAACAGGTGGCCGCATAAGTTGCAACGCAACTTTCGGTCCCCATGCATCTTCGACTGGTCCCCGACGTACTGCCCCGCGGTGACGAAGTTCCAAACAATGTTCCCCCGCCTCAACTTCGTCATCTCCTTCTCGGACAGTGGGTTGAATTGGGCAACCCCAGACCCCCCCGCACCGCTGCTCCCTGCACCCCCCGTCATCGCCCCCCACCCGGATCCAACAAGTCGTGGCGTTGATCATCGATGTCGTCTGACCTTGCTGCACCGTCGATGTAGTCCCCGACGTCCCCGCTGCGACGTTGCCGCCTCCCGCCTCGGTCGTGCACCCCCGCGGTCCCCGCGCTCCCCGGCTGGTCGGCCGCAAGCAAAGCCGTAAGCCTCACCGGCCGAGTTCGGCCGTGATCGACCTCGTTCAGCCGAACGGCCGAGGTCGGCCTCGTTCGGCCGCGGCCAGGCACTAAGATCGCCGCGCGCTTAAAAAGACCGCGCGCGGCGATGGCGAAGGCCGTCGGGCGGCCGCTGGACCACGCCGGGGCGCTGTCCCGCGTGGTCGCCCGGCGCGCGCCGCTGCCAGGTGCGCACTAAGAAGAAGAAGAAGAAGAAGAAGAAGAAGAAAATCTCTCTCTCTCTCTCTCTCTCTCTCTCTCTCTCTCTCTCTCTCTCTCTC